TATAAAAATACATACTGTTGGTGGAGTAGTTTATGATGGTTTTCTCTGGGTAATATAGCCCACCCTTACCTTTAGCCTTTTTCTATTTCCTTGAAACCTCACACTAATTTTCTAATTATATTTTTAGGAACCTGAATCTTGAACTTCCTGAGGAGAGCATCTGAGCTTCAGAGTTCCTACAAGGTAATGACAAAATATGAAAAAGGCCCAGTATACTCACATTAAAATTTCACTATGAGTGAAATTTTAGATAATTTTGAGAATCTCCTCCTTTTTGTGAAAGAACAAAAAAACTAAAGAAATTTTGTAAAAAATTGACAAGGAAACCATTTTAAAATTTTTGTACTCTTAAGCATTCTACTCATTATTCAAAACTAGCCAGTCACAGAAAGAATAAGAGACAGATGCTAGTCTAAATAGACAAATGTTTCCAAAATAAGATGTTTTCTATCAGCCGAAAATGCTTTACTTAAAAGACTAACTTGATAGTCTTAACAACTCAAGCAGTTGGATGCAAAAGAAAATGTGTGTCTTACCAGTAAACATTTTGGAGAGATAAGTATTTGTTGCAAGTATTATACCTGCTTAGAAAAATCATTTTGGCCAGATGAGACCACCATGTGTTTTAAAATGTCATTCATCATTTCAGTGTTAAGAGCGCCCCCTGGTGTGATTGTATAATCATGTTTTTGAGAAATTTAGGCACTATTTTTTTAATTTCATTTTTAAAAATACTCATTGAATACTTTTCCTTTTTTATTGAAATATAGCTAATTTATAATATTATGGTGTAATATATGGTATTACAGATTAGTGATTCAGGATTTTTGCAGATTATATTCTTATGAATTATTATAAGATAATGGCTGTAATTCCCTGTGCTATGCAATATACCCGTGTTGCTTATCTATTTTGGACACTGTTTTTAACATTTCATTTTGTTATTATGTAGGCCTTCTTTTTATACTATATTGACCTGGTCAGTGTGCTGTGTAACTATCTAGAAATAATGAATTTAATTTTTTCTTTATCTATGGTTATATCTGGAATCAGTGGTTAACTCGAAAGTAGAATTTGGAAATTCTAATTCCTAAACTCCTTCAGTTCAAGTTGATGACCAATAATATATCCTTTGGTAAGCATGAAATTATATACTGAGATAAAAGTGTACAGGATAATCAAATTCTTTGGTGTTAATAACTTTGTTAAGTGGCAAATTACTATGAACAGTTTCTTTTTTGGTAATACGGGCATTTTAATGATTAAACATGAGAATTCAGACATTACATTTTGTTTTGAAATACTCATTGTGTGAAAAAAATAATCCCCCTATAACCACAGAACTTGCCAATGTAAATACAATAATTCATCCCTGAGTCATAAATAGAGCTCTCGTCTGTCTCCTGAAATCACCCCACTCCTATAAATTCTCATTCAAACTTGGCAGAAAGTGCCTATTTTATAACTGTCATTTTTTCTTGCACTTAATATTTAGTACTTTGGGAATAATTAAACCATCCTTGCAAAGTGAAAGTGTGCGTAATATTTTAAACTACACTTCTGTACATTTGATAATTGCAGTTATACTTCCCCCTACTGTCCCTTCTCTACACTTAAATTATCTTGATGGTTTTAACCATTTCTTACACCATTTCTTATAGGTTCTATTCTAAACTTGGTCATTTGCAGGGCTATCATACTGAGCTGTTTGGAGTAGAATGCTTTTACTTTC